AGTGATGGTAATGCAATTTTGGAACGCCTGTTGCAAGCGCAACGGGTGAAGAAAAGAAGGAATGTTAATCTCAAAGACGTCCGGTACCGGACTAACACATGCATTTTAAAGTGCATTCCCCAGGCAGCAAAATTGTAAAATGGCAATAAAAAGTCCTTCACGCCGAGTAGGTGCCATAACTCAATTCACCTACAATCACACATGGTGGACAAAACGCGTAATTTGTCGTAGAAAACGATTCGTCCCAATACCGATCGCTTCGTTACCAGTTGTTCAGCGCCATCTAAAATAAACTACGGTTCTGTTGCAACCGTTTTCCAAGTTCTTAAGAGAGTTGCGCTTCCGAACCCAAGGACCCCATGTCTCACGGCCATACATAGTGCAGCATGAAAAATTTACTTTTTGCATTGGAAGGGTTTAACGTGGAGACAACATGGATCTCAAATCCGGAAACGCAACCGAAGCGTCACAGATCCATGCACTATGACATCTCTATCGCACTACAGCCAAAAACAACGCAACTTCGAAGCCTCGTATAAAATTCCGTATATTTATCGCCTTCCACTGGAGGTTAACAGGCTTGTTTATGGCTCAAAATTCCAGGCGCATAACCTTACGCTTATTGCCAGCCACCAACGTATATTACGTGCTTATTTAGCCCATCAAAATACATTTGTCTCGTTTTTCTCTTTCTTGGAGGGCGGAGACTGTAGCGTGTATATTCCAAGTGAATAAACATCTATGTAGCAGCATCCAGAAGACGAGCGATTTGAAGAGTCTCATTATTAGTATCAGTATCTCGCCCACACATAATTGAAGGGGAATAGACAGTGATGGCATTTATCCCGCAAAACGCTTTGGGTACGGAAAATTTCCGACACTCGCGTATACACCCACTGAAGAACATCGAATATTGCGAAGAATTTAGTATATATAGAGACGTCAGACTATTCCTTTCAGGTAAGGCGTGTAGCTTCACGATGGTGCTCGGTTTGTGACGTACTACTCATAAGGTTGCTCAAAATCCATCGACAGCCCACGACCGGTTTCGCCATTCTTGGGGCTCATCAGGTAGGCGCACTCCCCGGATTTCTGTCAACCTTATGGTCTACTTGAAACCAAATTGCACGAAATTAGCGAATATATACTCATTTGCAAACTAATATGGTTCTTTCGAGACTCGTTGCGACTAAAAAATGAGGCGGCCTCGTGCAGCACATTCAGTTGCCTGAGAACATCATAAAAGAGAGATGCCGCTGGGTTCCAGCTGAGACTCTCGAAAGAACCAAATAAGTTTGCAAACGGGTGTATACTCGATAATGGTGTTCATTTGTTTGGTATGCCGTTGGAAATTTAGGTGCGTTAAATTTCAAGGTGATTTCCGCTTTTAACCATGAAAAGTGTGATTGAACTATTACGAATCTCACGCAAAAATAATAAAAAAATGCTTCCACAGGAAACAAATAACGCACGAAAGCACGGATTGAAAGTCCGGAAAAAGCAGCATTCAAACAGAATCGACTATGAAATATCCAACTGTGTGACTAATTTATATTGCCTATGGATGATTGTGGGAAGGGTGCATAGACTCACCTGCTGCTGCTGCTGGATCTACTGCTGCTGCTCCTGCTATGACTTTTCCGGAAATGGGATGAAAACAAATGTGTGATTTAGAATAAGTGGACTGCAGCTACTGGGTCGAGTGACAGACGATTAGCAGACCAAATTATTTTGAACTCAGAATAGGCGTTATCAAGCAATTATGTAATCATACTTTGCTGCGGATTTCCGCGAACTTCAAGACGACGGGAAATAGTGAATCGTCTGCTCTGAGAGTTTTAAGCACTTTGTCTAAACGCCAGCAATACAGGCGCTGTACAAATTTCAACGTCAGTCAATTTAGACCTGAGTCACGTTGAATTTGTTTTGATTATATCAAGACGAATTATACGGAGTGCCGATAACCCCACCCCCCGGACGGTGTCGTGCTATCATGTGAAGGGTGCAGTATGGTATCGCTTGCATGTCGGAAGATTCACTTCAAGGAAGGGACAATTGGTGTTTCTGTTATTCTCCAGACCATTTTCGATGGATACTCATACTGTTGATGTGGTCTGTTTTACTATCTGATTGATCGCGAACGAAAGGTGTCGTCACAACCGCCTACCATCTGAATACACCTTAGAACTGACATGTAAAATACATTTCGAATGAAGTAAAGATTTCCATTACAATGAACACTAGTTCAGGTCCCCCTGAGAGGCAAAAGCGGTTTCATTTGACAAGCCTGTAGACCGATTATGCAAGATGTGGCGGGTCTGTTCATTAGATGAGAGACCCAGGTTACCACATAGAAAGTAAAACTGCTATAGTGCGGCCACTCTCGCGGCAATCTATGTTAGCCGGAACTATTACGTTCCTATTGTCACACTCGACTTCGCAATTATGTAATTATACTTTGCTGCGGATTTCTGCGAACTTCAAGACGACGGGAAATAGTGAATCGTCTGCTCTGAGAGTTTTAAGCACTTTGTCTAAACGCCAGCAATACAGGCGCTGTACAAATTTCAACGTCAGTCAATTTAGACCTGAGTCACGTTGAATTTGTTTTGATTATATCAAGACGAATTATACGGAGTGCCGATAACCCCACCCCCCGGACGGTGTCGTGCTATCATGTGAAGGGTGTGGTATGGTATCGCTTGCATGTCGGAAGATTCACTTCAAGGAAGGGACAATTGGTGTTTCTGTTATTCTCCAGACCATTTTCGATGTCATACTGTTTATCGCTTGCATGTCGGAAGATTCACTTCAAGGAAGGGACAATTGGTGTTTCTGTTATTCTCCAGACCATTTTCGATGGATACTCATACTGTTGATGTGGTCTGTTTTACTATCTGATTGATCGCGAACGAAAGGTGTCGTCACAACCGCCTACCATCTGAATACACCTTAGAACTGACATGTAAAATACATTTCGAATGAAGTAAAGATTTCCATTACAATGAACACTAGTTCAGGTCCCCCTGAGAGGCAAAAGCGGTCTCATTTGACAAGCCTGTAGACCGATTATGCAAGATGTGGCGGGTCTGTTCATTAGATGAGAGACCCAGGTTACCACATAGAAAGTAAAACTGCTATAGTGCGGCCACTCTCGCGGCAATCTATGTTAGCCGGAACTATTACGTTCCTATTGTCACACTCGACTTCTTGTAAATTTTCAAGCAATTCAGGTCAACACACGGCATCCAGTTGTTGTGTCTTGCCATCCACATTTCGCTATTCTCCGCGCGTAGCGCATGCAGCCGGAACATGGATTAACGTGCGCGCCTTAGAATACAGAAGCACTCATTTGTGCTGGAGGGCGAGCGCCATGGACACTGTAATTCAGCATACATAATATCCTCCAACTTGTTTAGGTTCCCCATTTTGATACTCGGTCTTGCGGAAACTATGGAGCGCTGTTGTGTTTGGATCGAATCCTCAGGCAAACACTTGAACGCTCTGCAGATTGGCTGCGTGATGGAAAAATATTTCTTGTTCAGGCGAGCAAATGCAAACATTTGTAATTTAAACATTTGGTGACCACCACCTGATCATCAGCGCATAAGAGATGAAGATGTCAAACGAGAGTGTGCCGTATGGACGTGTGACCCACACAGGAATTCGCATGCGCATACCGTCAATGTCTAACTGCTCATGCGTGGTCACGGTTAGGTATTTGGGTCTAGAGGCAACGGTCGCATTAAATGGTCTGCAAACACAAGGCATACGAATTAGACTTATCTGCTGATGTAATAATTATAAGAAGCGACGAATATGGAATACTCATTCATATTTGAACGAGTAAAACCGACGTCCGTCCAACGATTGAGAGTTGGTATGTATGTGGCATATATGGTTTTGCTCAACTTTGAATATGACGGATTGCTTGTTACATTAGCTAGGGCATGCAAGTGGCTCAAATGCATCTCTCATGACTAACGGAACAATTTTAGGCCCCTGCAATAAATACTATCTTCACGTGCGGTCCGCGTAAACACCCGTATGTGTTTTCAATCCTCCGAATAGATGACGTTCGCCACACGAATACGCAATCTCCAAATAGTGGCCAGACTATGATAGACTATATGTGGACGATAAGGTCGCAGTCATGTGTTAATTGTTTTCTAGTGTTTTGTCGGTGTGTCAGAGCTTTCCTTCTCCTGCGAATCTGCAGGCCGCAATTTGAATTGTCAGTTTAGTGTTTCTCAATTTGTCTGAAGACTGTCGACAATTCAAAGCAGAGGTTATAAGCTGCGGTTACGAACTTGACTTCAGAACCGGTGTCAACTTTGGGACGGATTTGCAAGTCATTATATTGTCGTTAGAAAATATAGAAATGCGATCGGCTTCCTGGTGAAAATGCACCGGTTGCACACTTTTATGTTTCAGGCGCTGACGTATGCGGGATTTTGTAGAATGCACGCACGCACGCACGCACACACACACACACATGACTCTGGTTTCAACGGTCTTCTTCCTGTCCCGAATAAACCTTCCTGGTGAGTCCACATCAGCAAGCACGGAGAAGCACTGTACTTGAGTTTCGCTCCTATTAGAGCCATCAGCAGTGAGTGCATGCACAATGGTCGTGTCGGTTTTGATCTGCGCTCATGTGTTTTGTCCTCTTTCGAATCGCAGGCTTGCACAGGACACAACAAACGGATGAACGCGAGCTGCTTCATTCCGGGTTTTGCAGTGGCATACATATGAGGATTTGTGCTATGAATGCTCCAAATCCGTTCTGGCCAGCGAAGTATTCCGTGTTGTTCGGTATACATTCCATCGAACACAAAATGGGCTATTCCCGTTTTGCACAACATAGCACCGTGCGGATTACAAAAGCGTAAGATTCTTCAAATATCCTATAAAGATCAAAGCAGTATTACGCACACATCAATGAGGAACAATAGAACGACCACCCAACCACACAAAAGTTTTGCCACCATATCGACCAGGTAATGGCGCAACACAAATCCACTCTCGTTTCAACTGTCGCAGCAGTCGAGGAGCTATTGGACGATGAGTTCGCAGCAGTCGAGGAGCTATTGGACGATGGGGTGTGCTCGCAAAGGTGCTGCAAATAGTATTCGTTCATCATTCCAGAATAACTGGTGTAGCCGGCTTGAACTATGTCCAGTTTGGTCGAGCAAGTCGGACTCTGATGCAACTTGTGTGGCCGCAACAACGATTCGAGTGTCCGAATCAACGAAATATTCCTGTCAACGAGGAGCAATGTCAGTTTCTGAATTTACATCACCAACGCGGCTATTTCGTATGACGACACAGACCTTGCATGCGATTCTCGGTAACGCTTTCATGAGGCATCCCGGATTGCCATGGTATGCCCAATCTGTACTTATGGAGTTTTGGTCATGGCTCAGAATAAAGTGAGCCACACAACGTGGATGGCATAAACGCAAACGAGTGGTCCACTGGAAACTCCCTCCT